TTTTCATATATCAAGCTTATATGTATCTCTTACATTCAAACAGTTAACATGCCGGTTGTTTGGGGACTTCTAAAGTTTGTTTCTCGAACCAATAAGCCATATTTGAAGTTAAGGGTTGTGCGTGTTTTTGAGAGAAAAATTGATGCAAAGTACAAGAATGTGTTGGAAATCATCTTCCACGATGAAGAGGTAAACTATTTTCCATTGAGTTTATTCATATTTATAATAATAATAATAAAATGATCCACGTATTAATTAATGTTTATGTTTACGATATGTTGATATGTTGTAGGTGTCTTCGCATAACTGCAATGATTCGGTCGGTGAATACTCCAAAGTTTAAAGATTTTCTCCAAGAAGGCCAAGTATATGCTATCCAAAATTATCAAGGCGATAGTAATATTAGATTATATAAATCTTCGATTCACAAGTATAAGCTTGTGATCCATGGAATGACGGAGCTATTGAAGTTCAAAGGAGAATTTCCGGAATGGCGTTTTGATTTTAGGAATTTCATCACTCTCCAAGACCCTGATAATGTCGATGAATCCATCCTCTTTGGTATGTTCGATACTATGTATTTTATTTATAAATTCAAAATAATTTGTAATTTGTGATCATAATTTAATTGCTTAATTATTTTGTTAATGTGATTGGCTTTGTCATTGAAATTGGATCCGTTGCCATTAAGATCATCAAAGGAGTGTCAACCCGAATGATTGTTTTTCATCTACAGGATGTGGAGTAAGTGGATCCGTCTATTTATGTTCAATATTTATTTTATTTTTTGTATCAATTGTTTTCCATAGATTAGTCTATTTATTTCAATATATTTAAAACTTTAGGGAGAACAAAGTTAGTTGCACCTTATGGAGCGATTATGTTGATAAGTCTTTGGAATTGGAGTCCCAATATGCTGGTCGTGCTAATTCCTGGATACTGATTGTTAATCTTTGCCGTGCAAAGCCGTATGGAGGTAACTATTCTCGAAATTAAATTTTGTACTCTATGTTTTTTGTAAATTCTCATAAAATTTTGTCTTCTACATTTATTGAATGTGGATCTCAAATAGCAAATGTGGGATTGACTATTTCTCACGATGTGACCCGACTTATTTCTTTGGAGTCTGTTCCCGAAATTGAAGACTTCCTAGGGGGTAAGATTTTTTTTGCTATTTATTTGTTTTTATTCTTAGAAACGATTATGCTATTTTTTTGAATTATTAATATAAACATATTTTTTATAATGTTTGGTAATGAACGTGTTCGCCCTCTGGTGGTTAATTCGAGGAGTTCAATTGTGGCTCGCGATGAAATTGACGAACTTGCAAAGGGGGGTATATTCCGGTAATCCAATTATTTATTTTTTATGTTTCATTCTTAAAAAAAAAATATTCAATTCGTTAAAAATTATAATAAACAATTTATTTTATTATATATTTTTCTCTATTTGTAGGTATAAGATTCGCTTTGTTGTTGTCGATGCAAGTCCAAATGCTACCTTAATGTGTTGAGATAGATATTGTGAGAAGCTTATTAGAAAGAGTTGCAATGTTCTTAGGCGTGAGTTTGTTGAAAAGGTAACAAAATGCAATTTATATTTATATTATTCAAAATATTAGTTATTATATGTACAAATTGTATTTATGAAATAATTTTAATTACTTAATTTTTATATTGAATTTTTGGTACTCTTAATAGAAAAAGAATGGCTATGAGCTTCTCGATGAAGTAGATGAGTTGTGTGGCAAGACAATGCTTTTCAAAGTTCATATCCAACATAACGAGCGTTTTGGCTACAGTTCATCGTTTTCTATCGTTAGAGTCGTTAACGATGCTATAGTGTCAAAATTACACCAATGGGTTGCTGAAACCATCTTAAGTTTTTTTAGAATGATATAATTTTACTCCTCTAATTTTTCTTATATATCCATTTATATACTTTTTTATATATAATTGTTCGATAATTGTAAAATTTCTTTCTGCCTCAACTTCTAAGACCCAACGAATATATTTTTGTTCAATAGGAATATGATTTTATGACATGTCTTTTGAGGGAACAAGATGATAATGGAGATGTAATTAGTTAATCAATTATTTAATATACTTTAAGTTTTTGGTTTTATTTTATGTATAATATTTGTAACACATTTTTTTTTTCTCATTTAGGATGATGCGGATGAAGTGTCGACTCCTCTAAAGATCGCTACTCAAAAAGAGGCTTTTTGTTCTTGCACTTGAGGAGCTGAGCCACGATCGTGTGACGGCATCTTTCTATCAAACGTCAGTTGAAGGGGAACCTGAAAATCCTTGGGATGAGATCAACATGTACTATAATTGTAGGTATATTTCTTCATGTGAGGCTACATGACGTTTGTTGGGTTATGAGTTGCAATACAAAAAACCTCCTGTTCAGCGGTTGAGTTTCCATTTGAAAGGAAAGCATCAAATTTTTTTTGACGATGATGATAATCTTCAATATGTTTTCGATAAACCCTCTGTAGAGGATAGCCAATTTCTTGCGTGGTTTGAGGCCAACAAAATATATCCGGCAGCAAGGGAACTAACTTATGTTGAGGCTCCGTAGAAATTCGTTTGGAACAAAAAAAACCCGCGAGTGGACTCCTAGAAAAAATGAAGACCAACCATCTGTAGGTCGTCTGCGGTATGTACCTCCTGGGTGTGGAGATGATTTCTATTTGAGGTGTTTGTTAAATGTTGTTCGCGGTGCAACGTGTCATGAGGACTACATGAGGGTTGGAGAGGCTCAGTATATTACATATCGAGATGCTTGCTATGAAAGGGGTTTGTTGGAGGATGATAGAGAGTACATAGACGACATCACTGAAGCAAGTCATTGGGCATCCGCAGACTTTCTAAGACGCATGTGCGCATCATTGTTGGTTTCTGGTTCGTTTGGTAGACCGGAGGAGGTATGGACAAGATGTTGGTAATCTTTGTCGGATGACATTCTCTGCAAACAACAGCGACTGTTCAACAATGATGGTATTTTATTATATTAGTGATTAGTGATATTATATTCTAAATATGATGTGCCTTGCATTTTGATATACAAATTTATATTCTTTTTAATTGTTGTGATACTAAATTATCTTTTTTGAAAATTTGGGTTTGTTGCTTACAGAAGAGGAAATCCAGAATCTAGCCCTTGCTGAGATTAAGTATTTATTGCGACGGCGTGGAGTAAGTCTTAGTGATTATTCTATTATGCCCTTTTCTGATAGCGACAGTATGCAATCAAATTCAAATCGTCTGATTTTGGATGAGTTGAGCTCCGATCGAAAGGCTCTTGTTGTCGAACATGCTATGCTTCTTGAAAATGACTGACGAACAGAAAGGAGTCTACTCAACAATTATGTCGTCCGTGGATTCCAGTCAAGGCGGTGTTTTTTTTTTTGTATATGGATATGGTGGAACGGGAAAAACATATTTGTGGAGAACGTTATCTGCTGGGTTGAGATCCAAAGGTGGTATAGTGTTGTGTGTCGCATCGAGCAGAATAGCATCACTTTTATTGCCTAGTGGACGAACTGCTCATTCTCGATTTGGCATACAATTGAATCCTCACCAGGAGTCTTCTTGCAATATCAATCAGGGAAGCCCTATCGTAGAATTGATAATACGTTCTTCTTTGATAATCAGGGATGAGGCTCCAATGATGCACAAGCATTGCTTCGAAGCTATACAGACATCGTTGAAAGATATTATGGGAGCAATTGATCCTTCTAACAAGGACAAACCATTTGGAGGCAAATCAGTTGTTTTTGGTGGAGATTTCCGACAAATTCTTCCTGTAATTCCGAAGGGTAGCTGTCAGGACATAGTGAATGCTACGATTAATGCTTCTAACATCTGGATAAGTTGTACTGTGCTCAGGCTTACAAAAAACATGCGTCTTCAGAGCCTTACAGATTCCGAGGAACGTGAAGAGGTTGCTCGGTTTGCTGAATGGATTGCGAGCATTGGTGATGGAACTATAGGAGGGTCAAACGATGGTTGTGCAATGATTGACATACCTGAGGATATATTGCTTCAACCATCTGATGATCTGATTGCTCAAATTGTAGAGAGTTCATATCCTATGTTTAAGGCTTTAAACAGACAACCGATGATCCCAGTTATTTGAAGGAGCGGGCAATATTAGCACCGACGCTTGATATTGTTGAGTCCATCAATGAATACATGACATCGTTGAATTTATCAGATGGTAATACGTACTTGAGCTCCGACAGTACTTGCAAATCCGACTCTAATAATGATTTTCTTTCCGATATCCATACGCCCGAGTTCGTGAATAGCATCAAATGTTCGATAATTTCAAATCATCAGTTGCATTTGAAGATTGTAACCTCTGTCATGTTGTTGCGGAATATAAACCATTCTATGGGTTTATGTAATGGGACACAGTTGGTTGTGACAAAACTATCCGCTCATGTTCTTGAGTGTAAAATACTCACTGGGGATCACGAAGGTGAGAAGGTATTAATTCCTAGAATGACAATCACTCCTTCCGATGTCAGATTTCTTTTCAAGTTCCAGATGCGACAATTTTCCATTATGGTATCATATGCCATGACTATCAACAAGAGCCAGAGACAATCGTTATCGCATGTTGGTTTATTTCTTAAGAAACCGGTGTTCAGTCATGGGCAATTATATGTTGCCGCCTCCCATGTCACCAATCGAAGTGGGTTGAATATATTAGTATGTAATGATGATGACTTGGCACCAAATCAGACCCAAAACGTTGTGTACAAAGAAGTGTTTACTAGTTTATGAAATTTTAAATTTTTGTTACATATCAACAAAATACATTAAATTTAATGTTAAAACTAAAAAATTTTTTAAAAAATATACCATCTCATCGCATGGTCATTACTAGTTATTTTTGATGGGAATAACAAAATATTGAAAAAGTCGGTGGTGGAGCGGCTGGAGTTTCACAGCAGCAACTATGGGTGTATAACTGTATATTACAAAATAACCGCAGATCTTTAATAAATTTCAGATCCACCACTAAACCACCCACCCCCATTTCCCAATCTGACCTACCGACATACCTAATTTACGCGTTCCTAACTCTTTTTATAAGCATAGCGTCTTCTCACAAACAACTCACTCATCTCTCAGATCCAACCTCTGTACTCGCAAGCATAACCAATGGCGCTCCTCGTCGAAAAGACAACCTCCGGCCGCGAGTACAAGGTCAAAGACATGTCCCAGGCCGACTTCGGTCGCCTCGAGATCGAGCTCGCGGAGGTCGAAATGCCTGGGCTCATGTCCTGCCGGGTCGAGTTCGGGCCCTCGCAGCCCTTCAAGGGCGCCAAGATCACCGGCAGCCTCCACATGACCATCCAGACGGCCGTCCTAATCGAAACCCTCACCGCATTGGGCGCCGAGGTCAGATGGTGCTCCTGCAACATCTTCTCCACCCAAGACCACGCCGCCGCCGCCGTCGCGCGCGACAGCGCCGCCGTGTTCGCCTGGAAGGGTGAGACCCTGCAGGAGTACTGGTGGTGCACGGAGCGGGCCCTCGACTGGGGCCCCGACGGTGGGCCAGATTTGATCGTGGACGACGGCGGTGATGCCACTCTGTTGATCCACGAAGGTGTGAAGGCCGAGGAGGAGTACGAGAAGTCTGGCAAGCTGCCCGATCCGAGCTCCACTGACAATGCCGAGTTTCAGATCGTGCTTACCATTATCAGAGATGGGTTGAAGTCCGATCCGAAGAGGTATACCAAGATGAAGGAGAGACTAGTGGGTGTTTCTGAGGAAACTACAACAGGTGTAAAGAGGTTGTACCAGATGCAGGCAAATGGCACCCTGCTTTTCCCTGCGATCAACGTCAATGACTCTGTTACCAAGAGCAAGGTGTATCTTCTTACTCGTGATTTGTTTGATATTACAATAGTTCAGTCACTTTAGCTTTTCATCAATCTGATATGCTAAATAGTTTCTTTTCTCATTTAAATATCAATGCTATTGTTATTTGATCTCTGTTCTTGCAGTGTCGATGTAATTATAAGTTGTGGTGTTCTTCTTTAACTTAGAGTTGATATTAGTCTTAGGTTTTTAAAATTTTTTGTTTTATGTCAAAAAGCAAAGAATGTCTGGACTTTGGTTATAAACCAAAACAAGTTGTATGTTCTTCTTTAACTTAGAGTTGATATTACTCTTAGGTTTTTAAATTTTTTTGTTTTATGTCAAAAAGCAAAGAATGACTGGACATTGGTTATAAACCAAAACACTGGTTTTGCATTTGGCAAATTTGTCTCATCATTTATTATTATTAATAGTAAACGTTTGCTTTGTTCCCTGAATTGAATGTAGTGTTAGTGCTGCCACTCGCTACTCCTGCTATTTTTTTTATTTTTTTTATTTTTTTTATTTTGAAATTTAACTGCTGTACTTTATGTGATGAACTGTTGTAACCCTCCTTGTGATTGGACTGTATCATTAGTTTGGCTTGACATGTTGAGCTATTGATGTTGTTGCTGCCTTTAGCAGTTGGCTTGAGTTTAAAATATTTTCTATTCATACCAAAACTAATCCTACTTGCCTCTCCAATTTGATCCCACCAGTTTGACAATCTATACGGGTGCCGTCACTCTCTGCCCGACGGACTCATGAGGGCCACCGACGTAATGATTGCCGGAAAAGTCGGCGTTGTGTGTGGCTACGGAGATGTCGGCAAGGGCTGCGCCGCGGCCTTAAAGCAAGCCGGGGCCCGCGTGATCGTGACCGAGATCGACCCCATTTGTGCCCTCCAAGCCCTTATGGAAGGCTTCCAAGTCCTCACCCTAGAAGACGTGGTCTCTGAGGCCGACATCTTCGTCACCACCACAGGCAACAAGGACATCATAATGCTAAACCACATGCGCAAGATGAAGAACAACGCCATTGTCTGCAACATCGGCCACTTTGACAACGAGATCGACATGCTCGGGCTCGAGACTTACCCTGGCGTGAAGAGAATCACTATAAAGCCGCAGACTGATAGGTGGGTCTTCCCAGAGACTAACACGGGCATCATTGTGCTTGCGGAGGGTCGTCTCATGAACTTGGGTTGTGCCACGGGACACCCCAGCTTTGTTATGTCGTGCTCTTTCACCAATCAGGTGATTGCGCAGCTCGAGCTCTGGAAGGAGAGGAAGTCTGGTAAGTATGAGAAGAAGGTTTATGTGCTGCCCAAGCATCTTGATGAGAAGGTTGCTGCCCTTCACCTTGAGAAGCTCGGTGCTAAGCTTACTAAGCTTTCCAAGGAACAGGCGGATTACATTAGTGTGCCGGTTGAGGGTCCTTACAAGCCTGCTCACTACAGGTACTAAAAAGGCAGATAGTTTTTCGAATTTCGATTGTATTTTCGTTGGTTGGCTTGAGGATTTGTGGCGTGGAGTTTTTGTATTGTTTTGGAGGAAGAGTGTGGTATGATCCAATTGAGACCATTATGTTGAAGACCTTTGTGATTTGGACAAGTAATGTTTGAGTTTAGTTTGTGTTTGATCACAAATTCTGTCGTTTGTTAATCTTTCGTTTCCTTGGTATGAATTATTGTCATCATCAAATGAAAACTATATATTTTCGTTGGCATCCACATTTGGGTCCAGAATCCAGATGGTTGTTTTCCTTCATTTATTTTTATTTATTTTGTTTTATTATTTCTGTTCCGGCCATTGCAGGTTTTGTTTTCCATCTGGGTTTATTATTAGTGTGCGTTTAGTCAACATTTGATGATCTAAATATGTACTATAGTACCAACTTTTACACCCCAAAAAGAAAAGTTAAAATCCTGAAAAGCTAAAATAAAGGCATCTTATTTAAATATTATTTTACTATTACATAATTATATGATTAACAAAAATAATATATCAATTGCATATTTTTCAAATTTTAAAAATAATTATTATTAATTTTTTGCACAAATTGTAATTTACACAGTTTCATTTTCTAATTAAGAAAATTTCACTAAATATATTTATTATTTTTTATTATGAGCATGTAAAATATAAATTAAAAATATAAAATAAAAAAAATACTTTTGTTCTTATAACTATAACATAAAACAAAATTAATTGGTTTACATATTTATATCATATAGTAGAGTTAGTTGAACGTTACAATGAAAAATTAATTCAAAAGTAAATCTTAAATTAAAAATAATTTAAAATATAAGTTTTCTATTATGAAAAATTAAATTCAGCCTTAAATTAATATAACTTTCAAAAGTTGGGCCTTTGATTTCCCCCACTTAAAAAATAGTGGAATAGAGAGTAGGGATGAACATTGGTCGGTACGGTACGAAGATTGAGAAATCTGCAGGACCGTATCAAAATTCGGAGATCACTTAATTCGATCTCTGGAGCCGTACCACAAAATCGGGACGGTTTAGTTCGGAGATTTTTATTTTTCGGTTTGGTATTCGGGACTATCAGAACGATTCAGTTCGGTATGGTTCGGTTCGGATCTTCGGAGGTTTTTTAATTTTTAATTTTTTTTGATTGACTACCTAGTTATATTTTAAGTTATATGATTTAAAAAAAAACAACAACATTCATCAATACTTCATCATATTGAAAATTTTATTTTGAAATCAACTTTGGAAGTAACTCTAAATTTTAGTTAAGACTAAATTTGTGCAATTAATATTTAAAATTTAAAATTCAAACAAAATATAATATAATTTTTTCTTAAAAAAATATTCTTTAACCTTTCATACTATTTTAAATATTTTTTTTAATAACATGAAAAATTCAATTGTAGATCAAGTATTACTAAGCATGAAATTTAAGTAAAGCTTAATTGTTATTACTATATTTTATTTGCATTTTAAAAATTCTTAAATTATATAGGATCAAAGTTGGCATAAAACATATTAATAACACATATCTAATGTTATAATTCGGTTATTAATTTCGGTTCTTCGATTTGGTTCTCGGTACGGATATTTGTGAAATCTTTAGAACCGTACCAATTATTTTTTCCGTTTGGTTCGATTCGGAAAAAATCAAACAGTCAACAGTTATTTTTCAGTTCGAAGTGATTTTGATTCGGTTTTTAAAATAGTTCGGAACACTCCGAGTCCCATGCTCAGCTCTAATAGAGAGTAACAAAAATAGCAATCCAAAAATAGTAGGGAGCTCATAGATTAATTTTTGGAGAAAGCCTTACAAGTGACAAACTTAATTTAATATAATCCATTGCACAAAGGAAGTAAAACAGGATTGTACTCGATCAATCCACAATAGTAGCAGCAGTCGTCGGTAACAAGCAACGGAGGCCCCACCTCCAAATGACTATCAATGAGGAAGAGGCTGGCCTGGCCACCATTTTCATTTAATTCACACACAATTAACCCACACTGACATGACATGTCTTCTCTCTCTTTCACCACCACTGTTAAAACACCATTAGAGAAAGAGAACACTTCTTTCTATCCACCTCCCCTAAAATAAATAAATAAATAAAATGCACAAAACTCTCTTGTTGATAGCACTTTCTTTCTTGCAAATCCAGCTGGGAATTTGTGAAGGGGTGTTGGAGATGAAAAATTCGGTGAAAGCTAGCGAATTAGTGGCAATGGTGGGGCAATGCGAGGAGGAGATGATGATGGATTCTGAGAGCAATAGAAGGGTTTTGTTCATGAGGAAAAGGTATATAAGTTATGATACTTTGAGAAGGGATTTGGTTCCTTGTGACAAGCCTGGGGCTTCCTACTACAATTGTAGAACTCCTGGTGTTGCTAATTCTTACAACAGAGGTTGTCAAGTCATTACCAGGTGTGCAAGGGGTGATTGAATTGTGCCTAGTTAATTTCTTTTTCTTCTTCTTGTTCTTTTATTTAAGTAATTAACTGTCTCCAACTGGGGGACTTTTAAAATGTGTGTTTCTTTGATGTTTGGTATCAGTTCACATGAATTTTTAGTAGATCTGGAACTTCTTCAACTTTCTTTTGAGAGTTCAAGTGCTTTAGTGCAGAGTTTTAATTTGTACCGTCTGTATGTGTAGATCTATCGGTGTTGCTTCATATTTTACTTGTGACTGAAACTTTAAGTAACTTTCTTTTGTGGACTTTTGGAAATAATCCATTTCTTTCAAGTATGCAGGGAGAGAAGGATATCTGGTCTAACTGCTGAATTATTTGAATGATTGAAATATGATTATATAAGCTAGAAAATTATGTAGTGCTCCTATTTGTGATTTGGATAAGGATACCTGATTGGATTTCGGGATCTCTTTGGTTAATCCTCCTAATTACTGCTCATACAAATGTTTTGTTTGGATGATTAATGTGGGACATGGCTCCGGTCTTTCAAAAGGTCCTCACCGGTTTGAACACGAATCTGTTGGTTCAATTTGGTCTAAGTCCGTAAGCTTGCCAGTACCTAAAAAAGCACCGAAATTACTCCGGCGCAAGACCTTTCGACGCCCAAGTCAGTATCTCAGAGTTCAAGAGTACAACAACAACAATATACCCAGTATATTCCCAACAGGTTGGGGTCTGGGGGTCAGTTGTCGCAGACCTTACCGTTGTAATTATACAAGGAGGCTGTTTCCGTAGCGACCCAAGATGCATTACGCCGTTTGATATATATTTTTTTTTCTAGAAACTTCACTAATAGAAGAAGCACTAGAATTTAATTGAGCCATTTTGATATAGTCCATTATTAGCACTATGCCAGCAGAATTGTCAATAATGACTCTTCAAGAGTAACTTGCAATAAATGTAATAGTGATTGTAATTAAATGAGCCTTACCTGCCAACTAGGAAATTTACCCTTTATAGTCATTAATCGTATGGTCTCTCCTTGGGGCCATAAGTCCCCAAACATATATCGGTCGGACATGACTTAATCTACGCCCGGCCTTATGGTCTAATATTCGACATATTAGACCCCCGTTGTGCTTTTCAGGGGTCGATGCTTGAGCCAGTCGACATAGGTTGGTGCTCGAGCCGGTCGACCCCCGTGTCGGTCGTCATAGGATTAATGTGCGTTATAGGGTCAACCCTCGGGCCATTCGACCCGGTAGCTTATTTCACCGCGGTTTTATAGGTCTTTATTAAGTTGGGCTGAGTCGATATTAATATCTCTATCAACTACTCCACCCTATTTACGAGCATACGAAACGGAATTCGTGTAATCATAAATATCAATGTTTGTGCATCTCCCTATTGCTATTTTTATTTGCTAATGCTATCGTAAAATTACCCGGTATGCTCCAAGCCGGCTTGATACTTAGACCAGTCTTCATTTGGTTAGAGAGCCTTGGTTTGGCTTAATGTGTGAATATCTTTTGACCCATGCCTTTTTCCCTTCCCAAGACAATGTCCCATACCATAGATCTTATCTACCAAGATCCTATGGTTCATATTTACCCAACTTTTCCTTCTAGGTTTTCCCCCTTCTTCTATAAATAGCCTCCCTCTTTTTTCTACAAAAAAATTTTCTACCTCTTTTCCTTAGCATATTCCTCTACCCGACGGCAGCAAACTAGAATTTTCCAGGACCATTTTCCGGTCAGCTCTTCCCTTCGGTTGTTTTTCTTATTCGAGCTCGAGCCACTCCAACCGTGGGTATGTATTCTTGAACCCTCCTATTATTTTTCGTCTCTTTCTTCTACCCTTCGTCATAGCCCTTACTTTTCGATTCTTTGGCTCGATGTCTAGATCCTCGGATTCGAGCCAAGGTCTCGACTCCGATAATTCTTATATCGTTTCCGTTTCGCCCTCCCATGTAGACATACCCTTTGATCCCCCTACCGGGACCGATGCTCTTCGCCTAATTGATGAGGCTGAGGGCGTGTTCACTTGAGACGAGCTTCAACGATTTGGAGGTTCGTTTCCAAACGACCCTTCTGACCTTGAGGACGTCCCGTCTATCTCTGATATCCCCAATTCGGTTTCGGGTCGAGGCGTCTCTCCTTTAGCCGTCTCGGATGAGCCCCGCTCTCCTTTGCTTGGCTTAGAAGGCCGCGCCTCTCCCCCAGCTAATTCCGGTGGCCGCACCACCCCCTCGGTTGCTTCAAGTGGCCGCACTTCCCCCTCGGTCGATTCGGGTGGGCATGACTCTCCTCCTCTTGCCAATCTTCTGGGTGGTTCGCGCAGAAGTAAGTTTAGCCCATTTTCCTGTATGTCCCCCAGTGAAATCGTGATGTTTAAGAGGCTTTGTGAGTTGCCAACCGATTAGGAGTTTGTGGTTTCCGAGCCTACTGACACGTGATTGCCAGCTTCCCGGTTGTTACTCCTTTTTCAAAGACCAAATCAGTGTCGGTCTTTGATTTTTCGGCTTTGATGCTCTCTTGCGTCTTAGCGGGGGTTTTGGGTTTCCATTAAATCAACTCCCTCCCAACGCCATCCGGACGATGATTGCTTTTACTATTTTGTGCTTGCATTGATTAGGGCAGTTGGAGCCCGAATTCTACTTCTATTGCTACGGGTTGAGATTTCAAAGATGGGGTACTACGGGGTCCCATTACACTAGTTCGCGTAATGGAGCCGAATTTATTGTGAAGCTACCCTCTAATATCCCTTCGTGGAAGAGGAGATTTTTCTTTGTCCAACCTCTCACCCGGTACCTTACGCTTTTCTTCGAAGTGAGTACACAAGCAACTCTTACAATGATGTAAGCCTGGGAAGCACCTTCATTAGGGGTCTATAGTTAGGGAGTG